AAACTTGAATTCATCAATCGCCATTTCACTTTCCTGTCCACGGATGACATCTGGAGCCAAAGAATTATTGAGCCTTCTCTCCATCCTTCCAGATGGTCTATCAAATGTTGAGCTACTCCAGAGTGTCCTCCCTGTCCCTGATATCCTGACATGCAAAGCTGTCTTACTGCAAACATCTCTCGCCTACACTGACAGCAAGCGCCTGAAGGTCCTTGTCCCTATCCGGGAGTACATGCAGCATATACACCCACCATCCCCATCACTGGTCCAACCTCTCCGAAAGCACTTTCATTCACTCCTTGATTTGCATTGAACCCATTTTGGGATACAGATAAATGGGATGGCTAATCAAATACATTCCAACCTTTGTAACATTCACCACATCCTGCTACTCAGTCTGGATCCAGAAAACCCAGAACTTAGGGAAAACATTTATTGCATCCTCAGTTTCAACTCTTTAGATGGCTTGCTGCTCATGGACATTCTGTACTGATGGACCAAATCCCACCCCTGTTGCCCCAGCTGGCTGATCCCAGGTTGGAGATCAATTTCACCATTGAAATGGTTTTTACAGCAGATTATCCAATTCCGAATCCAGAACCCCTCATTGACCGAGCTGTACATCACTTGGAACATTTAAATGATCAGTCTCTTGGGTGTGAGTGTCACATATTAATTCCTCCGTTACAATGCTGATGACATTTTCTTGGCAGCTAAGTTCTATCGTGTGGCTGGAGGGTATTATCGCCAACGGAAAGATGATCAAGCTATGAGCCTGCAATTTTTTGACAAAGCCCTTACATTGGCAAGGAACTGTGGGAATACTGAGGAGCAGACTCACATATTAAATGACCTAGCTCTAACGAAGCATTCGGTTAGTGATTATGTGGGGTCCCAAAGACATGCTCGTGAAGCAGAACAGAGGTCACAGATTTGCGGAAACGTATATGTGGAAGCATTGGCACTGAATAATCTTGCAATGTGTTGTTCACATGTGGGCAACAATGCAGCTGCTATTGTGTTGTGGCAGAGAGGAAGACAGCTCCTGCAGTTGTGTGGCATGAGTGGTGGGAGTCTAGATCACCGGATTATGGCTGCTCAGGCCGATGTTCATTCTCAAAAGTCCGAATACGCTCAGGCTCGCTGTGTCTTCACAACAATTGCCAATGACACTTCACCCAGCAAAGATCCGTTGAATCATGCTTTGAGTGTTATCAACATTGCTCAGATGGATTTGATGAGTGGAAAACCGGAGCCTGACATGCAATGCAACATCGAAAAAGCAAAGGAAATATTTGCCGCCATGTGTTGGCCTATAGGCATCGATTACTGCAGAATCGTGTTGGCTGATCTGAAGCTCCGCGAAAAGAACATTCCTCACGCGAAAGAGCTATTCCAAACCAGTCTGAATTCCCAATGGGGGAAAGATGCTGAAGTGGTGGCTTACACCATGGCAAGATTTGCTGATGTGACCTGCTGGCCCTCTGCTGAAATCAAGTGGTCATCCAGTTGGCAAGTGGTATATCTGGCTCATTCAAAAAAATCCCAGTCAAAGATCGATCTGTACAAGGCATTTCAATTTCTAGGAGATGGATTCATGTTGCAGGGGGATGAATACACAGCACAAAGTCTTTTTGAAGTAGCCCTAGAGGCATTCACGGAGATGGATATTCATCGCAGTCGAGCAGATTGCATGCTCCGCCTCGGAGATATTGCAAAGCAGAGTGGAGGTCTTGTCAAGGCAGTTGGACTCTGGAAAGATGCTCACCCCCTGTTTGAACAATCATCGCAGGCAAAGGAGGTTGCCAAAATTGACAGCAGACTTGCTGCCATTGACGCAGATCTTCTGCGGCAGCATGAGAAATCATTGCAATATCTCTGTGCGCTGGATGCACCAACAGCATTGTTTCACGCTGCAATCAATGAGTTGAATATCGAAGTGGTGGAGAGCAGGGATCCCACCAGTGAACAAACATAGGTTTTCTCCCTATAGCTTTCAGTTCTTCGTAGTACATCACTTTTATTTATATTTTCTAGTTTGACAATCCTCCTAGTGTACCATACTGCCTGTATACCCCTGTATCAATGTTATTTATTTATTTATTTCGCAGGAGGGCAATGTAAACGCTGAATTGACCGACGGAAGTTCACTTCGCGTCATCGAGAAATGCGTGGGTCGCGGGACTGTGCTCAGTGCTTACACATGGAGTTCGACGGCGAAGTTAGACTTCCTTGATAGTTCATCTGGACCAGCATCTGGATAAGGGTAAAGAGGGGCCTAAAATTTCATTCCAGAGACGCGCAAGTTCCTTCGAGATTGTGTTCGCAATCAACATCTTCCGCAGGAGGCAAGCTAAAATCAACAGACCTCCAGGTTTTGGCAAAGGCGCTCCAATCGCAGTCTTGTCATGAGATGAGCGTGAAAAGCTTGAATAAGAGAGCTTGAACATCGCACAGCGCAGGGTTCATGTTCGGCACTTATTCCTGAGTGTATAGAGGCTGTCTGCGGAAGAGGATCGGTTACTGTCCAAAACCAGGTTCGGAGCCGCCTCGGTTAGCCATTGACTTTCGATGATATATATATTCGTCAGAAATCATATTTCTCGAGAAATCTGAATGACGTTCTTGTGTTATTTCTGCTCGGCGAATATAGACATTTATCAAGAATGCTTGCGCTTCAGGCGAATGCACCAAATTAATATTCTTCATAGGCAGTCAGTTGAACTATTTACGACCGAAGAAAATGGAGGTGATGGAAACTGGGCGACAGGCCGTGCGTCTTGGAACTTTTTGCCATTTGTTGTCGACTGGAGCATTGGGCTAATTCGACTACCGCAGACAGATCAACATAAAAATCGGCTTGAGCGAGAAGAGGGAGGTTATACATACTCGATACGGCGACGAACAACTAGTTAAAGGTGTTATGGTCGCGCGTTCCAACGTGAATGTGCATCCCTCGTGACGCCAACGCGCGGAGATTTGCGACATGCACAAGGGGGAGGATTCCGGCCCGCTCGTACTGCAGCCAGATCAGGCGGAACGATATGAGTCTAGCACAGGAGGTGTCCGTGTCCGCTACAGCATTGGCACATCTAGAGTTTAATGCATTCACCAGGTTAATATCCGCCTGGTCTGAAGTGCAATCTGAGTACACAAGAGTCTGGAGCTTTGGAAGAAAATCCGGAACATTGCGGCGGTCTAGGGCATGGATTACATCAGCCGCGTACTGCGGTCGGACGAGGTCGAGGGTGGTGAGATGGATTGTGATATGAAACCATTCAGTGGGGATTGTGGGTGACAGGCCGATAGTAAAGGTCCGCAAGGTGGAGAATGTGCGGGATAAGAACTGGAGAACTGCGGTATTTAGAGGGCCGGTCCATGAACCGTAGTCGCTTCCGAACTGCAGCTTTTCCAGGCGGGGTAGGGTGAGGAATTGAAGAATATCATGGTCAGCCTCGTCAAACGCGCCTACGATGAGAGAGTTCAGGTCGGAGTGGCACATGAGCGGCTGCCCAATGGTCGACCCTTCCTCTTCCTCCTCGGGACAATCAACTCGACGGAACTCTTCAAGGGCCGTAGCCAGTCTCAATACACCCACCTAGACATTCCTGAAGAGCGACCGAGGTCGCAGTGAACTTGATCAATTGCGACAATGGCATCATCAACCTCGACGGTGGCAGGTGCTCTACTTCGAGGTGGCAAAGCAGGGGAGTGTCACTGAAGACTGGGATCGGGGTCCCGTTTGCTTCAAGCACACCGTCGAAAGAAGAGAGAGTGAGATGACGGAGGCGAGGGAATGATTGGATACCTGCAAGGTCCGAGAAACAGTCTGCATCTGCACCCAACGTCAAGAATTGCAGACGCGATGCATGCCGGCGGATGAGGGAATGCATGCAGGTGGATCGTTTTCCAATGTAAGAGACGTCAAGGGAAAGAGGACGACTCCCGGCACGGCTAAACCAGGTTGTGATCGCATTCTCCATGTTTTGGGGGTCGCCAAACTCTGTGTCACAGATGGTGTCCCATAGGGCAGGGATTGAGAGAGCGACCTCTCTCCATGCTTTGCATATTTTCAGGAGGAGGAGTGGGGCCATATCTGGATCCATAGTGCCAATATTGTGTTCAGAACACGACAAAAGAATCTCGGATGTTATTTCCGGCGGAAGGGTTAGAATGGGATAAACAAAGTGATCGAGCTGAACTTGTACGGTCGCTCTCTGTTCCTTGAGCTCCTGTAGAAGATGTTCATGTTGGGATATCGATGCGTCGAGATCGGCGAGATGGTTTCGGAGGATATCGAGGAACATCGCTCGAATGGCAATGAGGTGGAAGACAAGCGAGGCCGGCAATCTCCGCTCAGTTTCGGCGAGTTTGGCAGTGTCATCCACCTTGATCTCAAACCACCTAGCACGGCAGTTGCGCACCGTGCACTATGCCCGCCTGCTTACTCCGGCTCTGAGCACCCCACGTAGCATGCGTTCGAATCCGAACCGTGACAATGAAACTGATTTTGACCCCGCTGCCTGAAATGTTTCCATGTTCTGACCTTGGGTTCACCGGGCATAGGATGGATTTGTCTTGCGCTTTGTGGTACGTATACTCTTCTTTCCATAATACCCGCTAAGCAGCCCGTGATAAAAATTGGATATCGCGTATCACAAACGCAGACACGAGGCCGTTGAGCTGCCTGCACTTGACAATAAAATCTTTACAATGGAGGCAGCGGTGCGCCGTGCACTACGTCCGCTTCCTACTTCCCTTTCATTCTTCTTCTCATCTGGCTATTTGCAGCCTCCGACAAAAAGGATCAGTAGAGGGAAGCAGGCGGATGCGGACGCGGGGAGTCGAACCCCTTCAACTGCTTGCACTTCTATTTCCAGCACGAAATGAATGCAGCGGTGCGCCGTGCACCATGTCCGCTTCCTGCCTCCCTTTCAGTCCTCTTCTCATTCAAGTCTTTCTCAGCCTACGATAAAAAGAAGTGTCAGCGGAAAGGCGCATGCGGACGCGGGGAGTCGAACCCCGGATTACTGCTTACAATTTCAACCTCGTATAAATTCTGCAGTGATGCGCCGTGCACCACGTCCGCTTCCTACCTCTCCTCCTTGCCTCAGTAATACCAGGACTTTTGAAGCCGAGAGAGAAAAATGGAAGGAACCTCGCGAAGGCGGACGCGGGAGTCGAACCCCTTCAATTGCTTACATGCTCAAAATCATCAATCACAGAATGCAGCGGTGCACCGTGCACTATGTCCGCTTCCTACCTCCTTTCTTTGCCTCTCCTTCTCCAGGATTTTTGAAGCCTTGAGAGCCAAAAAAACCGTGGAGTGAATGGGTTATGCGGACGCGGGGAGTCGAACCCCATCAACTGCATGTAATCACCGACTCGACTAAATTGAAGCAGTGGTGCGCCGTGCGCCACGTCTGCTTCTTACCTCCCATTTAACCCTCTTCTCATCCTCTTACAGGCCTGGATAATAAAAAAGTTGGATGGAAATGGACAATGTGGATGCGGGGAGTCGAACCCCGGATTACTGCTTGCAACTTCAAGGATTTTGGTCATTGAATGCAGCGGTGCGCCGTGCACTACGTCCGCTTCTTACCTCCCTTTCAGTCCTCTTATCATCCAGACTTTTAGCAGTCTACTGAACAAAAAAATAGGAGATGATGAAGAAAAGGCGGACACGGGGAGTCGAACCCCGGATTACTGCTTACAATTTCAACCTCGTACAAATTCTGCAGTGGTACGCCGTGCACTACGTCCTCTCAGCCCTCCCCACATCCATGATGCTCGAGGGGGGAAAAAGGTGGGAAAAGAAGAAGAAATAAGGCGGACGCGGGGCGTCGAACCCCATCAACTGCTTGAACTTTCTACCTGGTTCAAACGTTGCAGGGGTGCGCCGTGCACCACGTCCGCTTCTTACCTCCTTTCCTCTTCCTCCTATTACCCAGGATTTTCGCTGGTGAGAGAACATAAAAACTGGAGGGAGCCTCGGGAAGGCGAACGCGGGGAGTCGAACCCCATCAACTGCTGGTACTTTACAAATCTACACATTGAAAGCAATTGTGCGCCACGCACCACGTCCGCTTCTTGCATCTCTTCTTGCCCTCTTCTAATCCCTGTTTTTGTGGCAGTCTGTTGGAATTTTTTTGTTTGGAAGAACGAGGCTATGCGGACGCGGGGAGTCGACCCCCATCATTACTTCCCATTTTTCACCATTCAATCAGTGCAGCAGTGCACCGTGCACTACATCCGCTTTCATACTCGGGTTCTTGGTGTGTCAAGTGGGATGTTTTCGAATCCGAATCGTGAGAAACAAAATGTTGCCACAGTGCTTGCAGGAACCTAGACGGCTCTTGTTGGTTCATTATGGAATAGAGTGCAATATAATTGACGCATCCATGTTACTTCTACTTCAACCCTCCATATTGACGTGGTTTGGAAGCACGTAAAAATTTTTGGTCTGAGGATCTCAGATGTTCATGCGGACGCGGGGAGTCGAACCAGGGTTTACTGCTCCCAACTTATGAGCGGAGCACGAAATCGAAGGAAGTGGTGCGCCGTGCACCACGCCCGCTTCCCACCTCCCATCTTACCCTCTTCTAATCCAAGTCTTTCGCAGCCTCCAACCCAAAAAAAAGTGTCCAGCAGACGATGAAGGCGGACGCGGGGAGTCGAACCCCATCAACTGCTGGCACTTTACAAATATACACATTGAAAGCAGCGGTGCACGGTGCACCACGTCCGCTTCTTACCTCCATTCCTCTCCTCCCTTTACCCAAGTTTATTGAAGCCTTGAGAGCCAAAAAAAACCCGTGGAAGGAATGGGCAATGCGGACGCGGGGAGTCGAACCCCATGAACTGCTTGCAACTTGCTGGCCAAATAATTCAGGCAGCAGTGCACCGTGCACCACGTCCGCTTTCTCTCTGTCTTATTCCCCTCCTCTTACCCTCTTCTTACAGGCCTAGATAATAAAAAAGTAGACTGAAAGACCTGGACCATGCGGACACGGGGAGTCGAGCCCCGTCTTACTGCGTACACACTGGATCTACTGGGAAATTGAATGCAGTGGTGCGCCGTACACCACGTCCGCTTCCCACCTCCCTTCTTACCCTCTTCTGATCCAAGTCTTTCTCAGCCTTCGAGCCAAAATAAAAGAAGGAGGAGGGTCAGTCATACGGACGCGGGGAGTCGAACCCCATGAACTGCTTGCAACTTGCTGGACGAACTAATTCAGGCAGCGGTGCACCGTGGACCACGTCCGCTTCCTACCTCCGTTCTGCCTCTCACTAATTATACCAGCTGTTTATACTCTGGCAGGAAAAAGGTTACTGGGGGAGGCTCCCGAAGGCGGGCGCGGGGAGTCGAACCCCTTCAACTGCTTGCGATATTCGCCGATATCAATGAAGGCAGCGGTGCGCCGTGCACTACGTCCGCTTCCTACCTCTGTTCTGCACTTGGGTTTATGCGGGGTTTTGGAGCACCAAATCACCATTGAAAATTCGAATATGTACGGCGGAGACCCAAGCGGGATTTTCGCCGCTCGTAAGTCATGATTCCGAACGCCCCAAATTCAAAGAGAAGGAACGACGGACAAGAAGAAGAAAAAAAAACGATAAAGAGAGTCAGGCTCGAATGAGAATTCTCGCCTCCGTATTTATTTTGCGTTTGAATGAATCCAAAAGAAAGAGAAGCCCCGCTCGCAGTCGGGACCGCGTGTGGCGTCCATCGAACCTTCCACCCTTCCACCCTTCCACATAAGAGTTCCACGAAGAAGTTCTGGAAGAGAGCGGTGTCCTCCGTCAATTCAATCAAGATCTTCCTGCAAATTTGTGCGAGAGCCAGCGGTGTGTCTCGTTCTATTACGACGCGGCGCACTCTGCGTGTGAGGGGGTACCAGCGGGGAAAGGGCACGGTGGCGGCGGCGCGCGCAGGCGCGAATTGGGCGTGGGATTTGTGCGTTGGGAAGGGAAGGGGAAGGGAGCGCGTGGCTGGCGGTAAGTAATGCTGGTCGCCGGGTGGTATGTGAAGGAAGGGGTGAATGGAGGAGGCCGGGCAGGGTGTGAAATTCAAAATGCAGGACCTGGGCCAGGCTCGGGCAGCAGCTGTCGCCTGCCCATCGTCGTATATAATAACGATCAACTGACTGAGGTAGATCGGGCACCACCGACGTCGGAGGGCATTCAAACTCAGCGTAGGTCGCCGGGAGTTCTCCCGCGAACGAAAACGAGTGGCCGTCAATGGGCCGATGGGAAAAAGAGTTTTAAGCTCTGCTCGGCCAGTCGAAGTCGAAGTCCGCTTTGGCTTGGGTGGCCGTAAGCACACGCTAGGTTAATGAGCATGGCCTCGGGGAGTTGATTACGCGGTGGGTGCCCGGACTCGAGTCTCGATTCGACAGTATGCAAAGCAGATCTTGTGGTAGATCTGGATTGGATCGGTGGCCGCGGATCAAAGATCAAATTTGCAATTGAATGAATAAATAATCCAATTAGCCTCCTCGCCAACCAGATCGGGAAGTAACCCAGCGCAAACTCATCCAGCCAGCCTCGCTAAATGACACTCTGCATTTTTTCTTCATTTTCCATTTTTATTCACTTCGCTGGGATGGGCGACTTGTACGTCGACATGGAGTACCCCCACATCAAGTACACCACCGCGGACGACGGCGGGCTGCCGGCGTGGGCGTTTGACGCGCCGCCCCCGCCGCCGCCGCGCATGACGCTCGCGGGCAGCCTCGACCCCACCACCGGCATCTTCTACCGCACGCCCGAGCACCCCCGCCTCCGCACCGCACAGGCCTGCGATAAGTGCCGCACTCGCAAGGCCAAGGGCTGTTCCCTTTTCTTCCTCTGTGCGTTGGAGCTGGGTCTCATTTTGTGTGCGCAGTGCTCCGGGGACCACCCCTCCTGCGCGCGCTGCCTCGCGCGTGGGCTCGTCTGCGAATACGCGAAAGAGGGCCGCGTGCGCGGGCCCAACCGCACCCCGCGCTCCCGCCACGCCTCCGTCTCCGCCTCCTCCCAGCCCCACTCGCTCGCCCCACTGCCGTACTCGACGCTCTCCCGCACCGGCGCGCTCACGATGGGAATGGGGGCACTGGGGAAGCCAAGGCGGCACACGGCGACACTCCCGCCGGGCGCCGCGCCTCCGCCGCTCGCCTCCACCCGCCCACTTGCCCTGCCCAATCCCAAGCGCCTCTCGCTCCCCGACGCGCTCGACCTGCGCCTGCTCGCTGGGGCCGTCCCGCCTTCCCCCTACCCCGACGCGCGCGCCTATGGAGAGGAAGACGGGGACTCGCGCCGCGGAAGCTACGACAGCTACGCGGGCGAGGTGGGGTATGACGCGTACAGCCGCGCGCTCGATGCTTTCTCCGCCCATCCCCTGCCCAAATCCCATCCCCACTCCCATGCGCACCTGCACCACGCGAAGCAGCACCACGCTGGCTACGAGCAGCACTTCCCCCTCGAGGCGGGGTACGCGCTCGAGGTTCGGTACGCACTCGACCCCGTGCTCGACGCGCACCACTAGCACCTAGACTCGCACTACCCACATCACCACCGCCTCTCGACATACATGGACACACGCACCTCGACGCGACGCGCACAGGCACCTCGGCGCTCTTCGTCGCAAGACGTGAGGTCCCGCGCGGTGCGAGGTGCACGGGGCCTCAAGCGCGAGACAGTTGCTTGCTGGACGCACGAATCTAGAGCGCGCGCAGCGGGAGCCACCGTCGCTGGCGCTTTCTTGGGAGCGGGGTCCACAGCGCTGAGACTTCCGCCCTTCTCCGCCCCGTCGGCGTCCTCACCAACGGGCGGTGGCCCCGTGGCTCTGGACGTGCCCGGATTGTGCGGGCGTCTATCTCTTCCTGTGAGGTGCCCGAGCCTCGTGCGCGATGCGCGCTTTACCTGCACTCGTTCGTCAGCTGCGGGAGCGCGCCGTGGGCGGAGTTACGTACTGTACGCGTCTTGGGTGTTCGCGCCGCGGTGCTCGCCCTCGAGGCGCGGGCTTGGGCACGCCCAGGAGGGGGGCACGGATTGCGGCGGCGGCGAAGGCGGGCCTTCTTGCGAGGGACGCGGCCTTGTGTCGTACCCGGAGTCGGGAGCTGGATGATTGTGCGAAGTTGCACCCTTCCGCCCTTCACACAGTCTGTCCGTCTTTCAGCGGGGCCACGCGCCTCGGTATCTCGACGCGTACCTTGTCGTCTCGTCTCCTATTCTCCTCCCTCCTTCTCCTCTTCTCCTCCCGCCAATGTACCCGTACAGACGCGAGTTTGCAGCGACAGTCCCCCTCCGCCTTCTCTGCCATCTCAGAACCAGACTCGGGCTCGGGCGCAGGTTGGGGCGCCTTCCCCCTCTTCCGCGTCCGGGTCAGAGTGCCTTGAGCTCCCCGCTTATGCTTCAGCGTATTCGCGCCGTGAGGGGCGAGGTGCTCCCGTCCAGTGCGTCGGATGGCCCGCCTGGTGGCTGGGGCCTGGTGGATGGGCGGACGTATCTGGAGAGGCGGGGGGAAAGTGCGGCGGCGGCTGCTGCTGATGCCTCGACTGAGACTTATCCGAGTCATCGCGCGCCTACGTCGCCGTAGCCAACGAGTTGCGGATTTATCGAACGAGGAACGAGTTAGAATTGATAAAGCATCTGTCAAGAGAGACTAAGTTGCGGATGGATTTGGGATGTGTTCTAATACGCCGGAAGATTCCGGACAATATTCCGATTCCGTCCATACACGGTCATGTGATTTGAAAACAACGCGATAAAAATTAGACCGTTCTGAGCCAGTATGTAACTAAGAGCACTTCGAGTTAGATTGAAAGAACTATAGGTTGTAAATCTGGATGGGGTCCTGACCGCTGCTGAGCTCGAAGAACATCGTCGACACGATCTTCCCCTGATCCAGGCCATGTATCAATTCCTGCATTAAGGAGATTTCCACTGATGAGTATGCCTAATTTTGGGGCGGTTTCCTCCCAGATGCTGACATACCTGGCGGTTTTCCGAGCGAGATTTCTCAATGTGGAAACGCGTGTTGGTACCCATGCGGATAAGACTCAGGATAAAATTGACCCGGCGGGGTCCCGTTTCGAAACATGCCGGTAAAAATGGTTTGCTCGATTGTGCTGCAATGCAGTTTGATTTCGTGAAACCTGTCCCAACGAACATCTTAGAACGGGTTATTGTATCGAGCACTTACGGAGTGAGTGGAATTAGAAGGGACTACGAAAAAAAATGATCGGTCTCTGATCTAATTAATTTCGAGAGCAGCTGGTAAGCATTCAGTTGAACAGAAGATGGTTCACATCATGTCAGTGTCGTACGATAACGGGCTTGATGGGTATCGAGTGGCCCCATGTTAGACACGCCATGTGTGGCGCTTACTTTTCTGAGCGCCCTTCGCCGTCATATTCAGAAAAATCGTCCTACCAGTAGCTGTCAAGGCGCTAAGTCATGAAAATCGATATATAATCATTGGGCGAGACCTGGTGACGACGCTGCTACACTGGTCTTATGAGCATTAATTAGCAGTCTTAACGGGCAGCCGCAGATTTGTGGAACTTGAAGGGGTTAATGTTCATAACAGCTTTCAACTTATATCCGGAGCTTGGGTGCAGCGCCGCTTATCCGTCCCCGTCACCTTAAGCGGAGAAAGCGGAGAAACCTGCCTATTCCCCGGAAGCGGAGAAGCCTGCCCAGTCCCCTTTTGAAGATTCTGCGATTCTGCGATTGATGGGCCAAATTTAAACAGCCAGTTAAAAGCCATCGCCACCCTGCGGATACAACACACTTCATCCACAAGCTCTCTCTTTACTAACCATTTGCTCTCAGGGCAAGATTGTGATATCATGTGCGACGACGCAGCCTACACATTGCGGTCTTCGATTTTCATCTGGGCACTGTCTCTTATCCGCATATTCCCCTCCATCATTCT